ATGAGATGTTGTGACCGCTGACTTTATCCTTAGATTTTTAAAAACATTGTATTGTTTTAATGTAACATATACAAACTATCTGACTTTTGACTTTTCTTACCAAAGTGAATATATCAGCATTATCAAGTGTCAAAATCCAACTAAATATATGTCTTCATTTTACCTTACTCCCCATAGAAAAGCAAGGAAAATTGTTAAGGGCCTGAAGTCTAAAATAGGAAAGTAGTTAGTCTCAATAGCTGCCATCAATAGGTATTCAGAAATATAAATTACTCTTAGCTTTTATGAATGGCTATTTGATATCTCCTTAGAGACTCCTAGTCTAAGAGTGCCTATTTCTCTCATTTATTTTCTCCAATAGCAATGAGAATTGATAAAGCTGAAAAAGCCAAATGTTACATTTGGTGTGTTACTGGATGACTGCATTGATTTTTTTTTTTTTGGCTTGTGAATAAATTCAAATGCATGCAGAATTCAGAAGTTTCTGTAGTTGTAATTTTGTTGGATCTTCTCACTCAATAAAATCTCAATTTTCTAATCTACTGTGAGGTCAAAGGTGGCAGATTGTAGAATAATGTTTTAAAACATTACTTGTGCAAAAATTCAATATCTTATAGTAAGCAAAGCAAATAGTATTAAACACTCAGTTTTGACTTTTAAAATTCATATTAATTACAAGCTACCATCTGTTCAAGTTCTGTGGCTCTGTGGTACCTAAAAACCTGGACCTTTGATTTTATTTTTTTTATTTTTTATTTTTTTTAAAGATTTTTTTTTTTTTAATAGAGGCATGTTTTTTTTTTTTATTTATTTGTTTGTTTGTTTGTTTTGTTTATACATGCACTGGGTACAGTCAGAAGCGCGGGAGGGTGAGAGAATTCACCAGAGCCAGAGCAGGGAGCAGAGCAGGCAGAAGGACCGAAGTACACTGCTGAGGTGGAGCAGCGAGCGGCAGGAGAGGTCTGCACGCCATGTGGGACCCTCCTCTGGTGGCCGGGGAGCAGCCGGGGATCGAACCGACTCGCAGAGGCCGCGGGCAGCTTCGCAACCCAGCGCTCAACCGCTGTGCCACTGGGGAGGCCCTGGACCTTTGATTTTAGACAATAAAATTTGTAATTTCTGCCTGAACTCTTTAGTGTAGTAATATTTGAAAGCGTTAATTATGAATTCTTGAAACTTAAGTTTAAATTATGAATTATATAATAATGTTAATGTGTACATATACATGTATTTACATAATGATTTTTGAATATGTCACAAACACACAACTTAAAAAAAAGCAAGGAAGTTCTTTACATTACAGTACAATAATTAGGAAAGAGTGAAGGGGAGACAGACTGAGAATAAGAAGTATCATCTGAATTATATAAAGAGGTTGATGAAGTGTTTTTCTCAGAATTCCTTGCTCCTTCATGTATAGTTGCTTGACCTATCATCTTACATTTCTGATTATTGACTCAGACTGGCAGTTGACTGTTGCTACCTAATCAGATACACACACACATATCTTATAAGGTACTTAAAAATATAATTTATTTTACTCCTTTAGCTGTGGTTTATCAAGCTTTTTATGTTCCATCCTGTTTACATATATACCTTGCATCACAGTTGCTCTACATTGATTCTCAAAACTCACTCTGACCTTTCACTTCTTGGTGATCTTCTAGCTTCTGGTTGTTTATTTCCTTTTTTTTTTAATGTGTATGATACAGTGGGAAGAACATGAACTAGTTAGTTGTAAGATCCAGGATTTGAATGTTCAGCTACTTAGTGATTCTATTATCATAGGCAAATTATTTCCATCTTGAGATTCAAGACGACCATCTGTAATAGTTATCATGAAGGGTTCTTGTCAAGATTAAAAAATGCAAGGAATAAATTAATTAGCTTGCAGCAAGTCTAGCAGGCTTAAATAGTCTCTAGAGCATAAGACTGTTATCTTAGATGACAATAACAGGATACAAAACATTACAGAACTTATAATTAAATTTACTATGAACTATTTTAGTTAACTCTGAGAAGAAACAGGTAAAATGTAAGTGTCAATGATTTCTAGGCTGTTAGTGGTTACTTATTTATTTTATATTTTAGTCTCTATTTTTATAAGCTTATAAAATGTGTTTTTTAGAAGGAAAAAATACATGTATAACCAATTACTAGGTATAAGGAAAGTGAGTTAAAATCAGGCTATTTTTTGCCTTTCACACAACAGAGTTCATACCTTGGTATGTTATGTTTTCCACCATTTATACATCTAGCTGGGCCTTGCATTTTTAGCAATGTAATGTTGTGTGACTGTGGGCATTTAACAGTGTAAAAAGGGGGCTAGGCAGAAGAGTTGCTCTTCTGCCTCTTTCAGAGTTGGAGTCTCTCTTGCTTTTTCTGCCTGCTTGTATATATGGCCTCCTGTCTCAGCATTAAAAAATCTGCTCCAAAATCCTCTTTTTGTCTGTGAAAACTGACAATGAACCTATACAACTCTGGATGGTTGCACAACAGTAAGTAAAAGGTTTAATAGAATGGACTCCTCATGTGCTGGGGGAAGTAATAAAAAGGAAATAATAAAGTTGAAGGAAAATATATGAAAATAGAATAAAGCAGAGTTTTAATTACTTGCTATTAACTTTTTCCCTCTGAAGTAGAAGATAAAATGGTTACACAAGATCTAAAATGAAATAGTGAATAAGGGATCTTGAAAATATGCTGTTGATGCAGTCATGAATTGAGATAGAAAATTCAGATTCACTACATGACCCAGAAGATTAATAGATTGATAATAGATATAGATAGATAATGATAAAAAGAACAACTGTGTGTCATTGAAGGGCACAAAAATAAGAGGTAACAAAGGAAGAGCAAGCAAGGTGAATGCCCAGTCTATGAAAACAGCAAGCAGATAATATATGAATGCAGGGATGCTCATCAAGATCAAATATAGCTCTGAAAACTAGGGGAAAAAAACTGAAGAATGTTGGTGATCATAGTAGCAACTCATTCTTACAACCAGACCATTAGGAAGACAGCCTCTAATAATAGTGGTGAGGCAAGTAGGTGCAATCAAGACAGATATTTTCGTAGGACTTGCCCAAACCTGTGAGAATTTAAAACAAGTGGACATGAAAGGATTGACTGTAGGAAAGAATATGAATATCAGCTTTCTCAAGCATGAGGAAGAGTTTCTTATTGGGGGGGGGTGCAGAAAGAAGCAGAGAAAAGACACTTTCTGTAGAGGCTGTAAAGTTGACATTTGTGGAGCCATTTTTAAAAGGGAGCTGGGCAGCCATGGCAGAGAAACTGCCATTCTTGTCTTCTTTGTACTGAAATGAAAGACCTGTGGATAGGACCAAAAGCAATTGCTTTTAGAAGCCATTAAACAAACAATTGTTGATGAATTATCAGGATAAGGATGACTGATAATGATTATGGACTTTTCCCTGTAGCATAGAATCAGTGACCAATTATGTATATATAGCCAAGAATAATTTAAGCATGTTAACACTAGTTAAAGTTTTTACTTTACCTCTTACTTCATCTTCTTTTTTTCCCCCATAAAATATATATCTTGGCTCAGCAGACCTCTCCTGACTCGCCCACTGCTCCCCTCAGCAGTGAACTTTGGTCAATCTGCCTGTTGTGTTCCCCACTCTGCCTCTGGTGAATCCCCTCACCCACCCCCCCACATCTCTGGCCTGTACCCCAGCTCTTGTGTGCATAAATAAGTAAATCTTAGAAAAAAAAATGTATCTTTTTTTTTTTCTTTTTGGAATACTATTTGGTTTTCTACCTGAACCAGTGCCCCTAAATTGTAATTCTTTGATCCCAAATAAATGTGCTTTGCCTTTTTAATTGCCTCCTGCATTTCTAGGTAGATGAAATAGAGATTTTGAGAACAGATAAGTACTAGAGATTCAGAGACCTAGAGAATGACAGATAATATAGCTTTTAAAATGTGATTTACTACAGAAACAAAGGTGATACAGTGAACATGCAATTAGCAGACATTATGTCAAAGTGTCTTATAGGGTGTGTAAGATATCAAGGGAACTTAGAATAATCATTCCACAGCTCTTATAATTAGCATCCTAATGTAAAGTTCATTCAGTTATTAAGATAGTTGAAAGCATGGTGTAGAAGTAGTGAGAGAAAGGTCATATCACAAGCCTATGGTTTGCCAATGAGAATGCTTCAAGTGAGATGAAAGACAAGATGTCTGAAGATAGGACAATCAAGGAACTGTTGAATTAACATTTAATATGGACTTAGAAGTCACTAAAAATATAACAGGAGCCTAGGTATAATATCATTATAAAATATATTCGACCTTCTGAAATTTTAATGCAACATTCTATGATGTCTCACCTCTAGGGGTTTCTGTCTCTATGAGACACACACACAGACACACACACACACAGAGACTGTATACAGTAGAGAGTACATACTCTATTTATAGTATAGAACCTATAGAGTATATGGATTGTATAGCATATATAAAATAATTTATATGCTCATGAGATGTAGAAAACATTTTAGCTGAAAGAGTATGATTACTTAGAGAAAGAGATAACCTTTAGAGAATAGTCTCGAGAGAGATCAATAATAATTAGGAAACATTAGGAAATGCTTGAGCATCACCTGTATAAGTGTTAAATGTTAACCTGGATGTACATAAGTCAGAAGTAACCAGCACCAATTTCAGTTATGTACAAATGGCCTGAAAATGAAGATGATGGGCCAGAAAGTTAGTTTTGTCTTCTAAAATGAAAACATCAATTGAGATTCTAATTACTTTATGAAGAGATTATTGCATGAAATAGAGTCAACAGCAAAGAATAAAGACACTGTTGTAGTTTAATATAGAATAGAGACAACTTACGGTAACTTCTTATAGCTGCTTATCTGAGTTAGAAACATTAGGACATAGGAAAAGTATTTATTGAAAAGTGTTCATTGTGTATGTCCTTTCTTTCATTGTGGAAACAACTATCAAAATTTGAAATGAGGTGTTTGCTTTTGCAGCACATATACTAAAATTGGAACCATACAGAGAAGATTAGCATGGCCCCTGTGCAAGGATTACAGGCAGATTTGTGAAGCATTCCATATTTTTCAATAACAATACAAAACACAACAAAGCAAAAACAGACAATTATAAATCAGAGACATCCTGCAGGAGAGGAGGAGGGAGAGGGATCAGAGGGAGGGAGGGAGGAGCACAGGGGACTGAGGTGATGGTGCACGGGGGCATTGGTGAAGGAAATTCTATGGGGACTACACCTGAGGGGGTGGGGGGAAAGCAAATATTGTTTAAAAATGAACAATGATGTAAAACATTAAAAAAAAAACACAAAAATTTGAAATGTGAACTGTGTTCAACTTAATTTTCTTTTCAATGCTCTTGCTCTCACTTAAGCATAACTCTAAAAACTTTTTATTTAATACCATGCCCATAGCACACCCCTTTACTGAATGCACACTGCTACCAATCAATTGTCCTTGATGATAAAGAGTTGACATAAGATATTAATCTAATCAAAACTGTATTGCTTAAAGTGCTTCTCCAACTTATCTCTGACTACATGCACTAATACCAGTTCACCTTCACATTCCCCATAGATATTTTTCTAATTGATTTGTTCAAAATTTTTGCAGGTTGCATCACATTTGCATACAAACTACACACAATTGAGGCACTGTGTGTGCAATTGTATCTTTTAGATTAGGTACACTACCCACATGCAAAACATGTTTTTCTGCCTTGAAAAACATAATCAAAGGTATCCTCCAAGAGTAAATTAGAAAATGAAAATAGTGATGTAAACTCCTTCCATGAATGAAATAGAAGTGATCCTCAACATCAACAATATTGCTTCTAGATAATACAGGTAGAAAATGAGTACATGCAAACTCCTTCATGGGTTATGTGAATAATCACGTCTCCTGTTTTAGAGGAATGAGTTCTTTATGAACCATGTGTGAGAGGACTGAATGAAGGGAACACAGTATGCAATAGGCACTTCTATATCATCACTGCAAAGTTTCTAATTGGGAAAATCAAGAAATGAGAGTGTGTTTGTGTGTGTGTGTGTGTGTGTATCTGTGGTCCTGGTGATGGGAACAAAAGAAAAGGCAAATATATTCGAACAACTATTTTTAAAACAATCTGATAATTAAGAGTCTTTAAATCTTCAGGCTCAACATGTGAATTTGGGATATTGTTGGTACAGGTAGGGCTTCCATAAGTTCTAAGCACATATTTTAATACTTAGAAAGATCTATAAACACTGTGATCTCAAATAAAAATAGGGGAGAATATAAGTCCACAGGAAAGATTGTATTGGCCTATCTATATGTACATCACATCTCTTGGTTTATGTAATATCCATATCTATAGCTGCAACTTTATCTACATCCATATGTACCTATATATGTGTGTGTGTGTGTGTGTGTGTATATATATATATATATATATATATATATATTTTATATGTATGAATGAGGAATGAAAAAAAGTTTTAGGATATCCTACATGCCATAAATGTTTCTATCAGTATATTAATTAACAATGAAAATAATAATTGATGTAAAAATAATACTTCTCCAAGTCTGTGTAAAAAACATGTCCATTCATTCTAAGATGTTACTTAAATGGGAAAACAAATTACAATTGTGAGAAAGGATCTGGGTGAGCATGCATAACTGGAGGCAGACCGGTCTTAGGACCAATGCTCTAACTAACTAGATTCAGAAATTATTTGTCAATAGATCCAAAAGATGTTAGACTGAAGAGATTTAACCTTTGTGAAACCTCCCTCTCTTGGAGAAAACTTGGATAGACACTGCTAATGTTTGCTACTGAGAGTCTTATGTATATATGCCTTGTTGCCGCAAGGATAACACATTCAATTAAATATAATCTAGTTTTGTTTCTTGGGATAACTTTGCAATCCCTGTGGTGACAAAATATATATTGATTTTGTAATTCAAAACTCAAAAGATAACCTTATATTCCAAATATATTATTAAAGGAATCAACCGTAGATCTTAGCAATATTTCTTATACTTTTTTTTGTTAAGAAAATAAAATGTAGACTATTTGTTGACTATCTAAATAGTACTTTACATCAATAATCCTTTTTTTTTAAATCTGTCATTAACATGGAGAAATAGATATTATGTGTATTTTGGTAAGGAAAAAGTAGTATATCGATGTCAAATAATTTCCTTAAGGTCACATAATTAAGTATCTAAACCAATACAGAACTGTCTGTTTGGTCCCAAAAATCAGTCTTTGTACTATTCTAAATTTCTGTTTTGAAAGACCACTATTACAAATATTATATTTAAAATATACTTGTCATTTTATATACTCAATATGAACAATGGAATGTAGTATAAAGAATTATGTACATTAGAGGAATATATGGAAATATCTGATATATATAAATCTGGTTATATAATACATAAACATACTTTGTGTGTCTTCTGTGTTGACAGTATTATCCCAGGAAATGATTTTTTAATGTTTGTCAACATTTTTAATTCTGAAAGTGAAGACTGGACTTGGCATTTATGATATATAATTAATGATGGGGATAGTTCTGGGACTATCATTTCCAGGTATAACAAAAGTTAAACTTAGTTCTGATGATGATTCATTTTACCTAATCAACATCTTAATAACAGGTGAATAGATTAAGAGCAATAAGTAGTCTCAGTTTCTTATTGCTGATTGCAGTGATATTTTAAAGTTTCAAATCAATAATTAAGATAATTAAGTCATTCAATGTCAACCTTCTATGCAGACATTTAAAACTATTTAAATAAATAGCTGTCTTGCATCCATATGACCTTTGGTTTATTCTGAGACACTTTGATCTATACATGATTAGGTAAAAAAAAAAAATCAGAATGATGCACTTACAAATCTGCTAAATTATTAGAATTTGTAATAGTACTTCTTAAAGTTAACTTCTAAAGAGGGAGAATATGGCATTGTTGAACTGAGAGGCACAAGAACTGAAACATTCTCATTTTCATGAAATGTGTTTACTCATATTACTTTATTATCTAACACCATTCAGAGAATTGCAGACAGCTAATAGGACATCCAGCAGTGTACTTGATGCATCTGCTCATCCATCAACCTTATGGTGAATATGCAAAATGAAAGAATTGCCTTAGGTCACAAAACCAAAGACAAAATTTAATTATGGCAATTTAAACATACTTTTCCTTTGGCTAAATTTGTACCAAAATTACCATGTTGACTATAAAATAATCCAACTGAAATCTCTATGTAGATCTTAGGCAACTGTCAACTCCTGTCATATATGACAGACAGTACGTTAGATGGCATTTGAAGAATTCAGTCAGTTAAATCACTATAATAAAAATTGTAAATACAAGATTTATTTGTTTTTGTGGATAATTTTAAAGTGATAATCTCACATCAAACACTTTCTGAGATGTTTATACAGGTGGGGATGATGATAACTTAAATTGACCCACCACAGTTAAGTAACCTCACCATGTAATAGAGAACATTTCATTATTGCTTTTATAATAAATCCCTTTTAAGTAGAAAATAATCTATAACTTGAAAGATGGAATTATGCATGCCAAATTATCAAGAGCTCAACAATACACCTACATGATAAAGTTAAAATTTCGTATATATCAAGCAAATACTCAGTTTGCCTTGCAATGTAATGAGAACAGGTACATAATTATGCTTTATCTTAAATTTGGTGTTATATATATTGAAGTCTATTTGAAGTAAATAACCTTGAATTGTAACTTCTAATGTCTCTGTATGGTATTTTTCTTATTCATTTATTCAATACAAATTATGAATCATTCATGATGAAGTTTATAAGTATTAGGGATACCACAATAAATGGAATAGTGTCTGCCTTTGAATCACTAGTTGGAGAGACAGGTAAGTAAATATTCAAGTAAAGCACAGTTTTATAATTGCTATTATGTTCCTTAATTCAGGAGAACAGTGGAAACCACGGAAAAGTTATATATTCTCTCTTGAGTATCTAGGAACACGTCACAGTGAAGGTAGAATTCAAGATGAGACTGAAAGCATAAATAGGTATCAATCAATGAGAAAAGAAAAGAGCACAGTGGGCTATGTTGGAGGACTGTGGGTGCTTTGTTGGTGGGAAAACTATGGTTACCACACCTGAGGGGAGAAAACCTATATTGTGAAAAGTCAACCAAGAATGTGAAGTAAAAATAAATAAAATTAAGAACTCTAAGATTTTTTTTTAAACCTTTTTTTTTTTTTTTAAAGATCCATTTATACAAGCACTGGGTACAGTCAGAAGCGTGGGAGGGTGAGAGGATTCACCAAAGCTAGAGCGGGGAACAGAACAGGCAGACCGACGAAATACACTGCTGAGGGGAGCAGTGAGCATGGCAGGAGAGGTCTGCGTGCCATGTGGGACCCTCATCGGTGGCCAGAGATGAACTGGCGCTGCAGAGGCTGCAGGCAGCTTCGCAGCCCAGCGCTCAACCGCTGCTCCACCAGGGGAGGCCCCAACTCTGAGATCTTAAAAAACAAACAACCAAGAAAACAACAAAAGGAAGAAAAGAATATGTAAAAATTTTAAAAAAAGATGAAGAGTATGGCATTTTTAAAGAATCACAATGCTTTGAATATAGAGAGAGCAAATCACAGATGTATGTTACAAAGCTGTAGTGTTAGTAATAAGAGAAGAGTCTGGTAGATGTTGAATCAATTCCAGTAAAAGATAATCACTACCTGATCAAAATACTGACAATAAAATAAGAAGAAATGGATAGATATCAAGCATAATTGTTTACTGATTTTCTATGAGGTTGAATAAAAGCAATTTTTAATATAAGCATTTAAGTAAGTCCTAAATAATCAATCAAGCAATACTATTTTGAAATATTTATGTAAGGATCTGGCCAACAGTGAGTAGGTATTTAGGAATTAATTCTAGAATTCAGAAATGATTTTGAAAGTAATTATTCATAACTGCAAGAGAGGAGTAAGATTTTACATTCCTTCTTTTAACATGTTTCTTGTTTGAGCAGCCAGTACTGTGTCTTATTGGGGGGATATGACAGCTA